TGAATGATGTTTACCATGCCTTGATAATCATCCAAGCTTCGATTTGCTTGTTGTATGTTGTTATCAACCCAGATCTGCTCAATAAGGCCATTTACAGCTTCTCGCATCTTCTTAGCTCTAGCTCTTGTGACTAGACCTCCTGAAATATGTAATGGATCTCTTGACGTGGTACCTGTGGGGTCATCTTGATTCCCATCATTCCCTCTCTCCTCAAAAGGATTTGTCCTCAAATCGTGACCTACATCAAAAGGAGAAAGATCAGAAACATTAAAAGTAGCACTAACATTATACTCACCAGGAAGCTCCAACTTGTATGCATTGTCGTTTATCCTTGCAATCACTTGAAATGGTCCATCGCCTCTTGGTTGCGAGTTAGAATGCCTTTGTGCAGGGAATCGCTCCTTCCGCATATGCACCCAAACCCAATCTCCAGGTTCAAACACAACTTTCTTGCACCCTTTGTTGGCCTGATTTGCATATTGCTCAGTTCGTCGCTCTTGCATCAAAACAGTGCCAATGCCAATACCTGATGCATCACATTCAATTTGAAAAGTTTTAGTAAAATCAGGTAAAGCAAATAATGGTGCAAAAATTAAATTCTCCTTAATCAAATTGAAAGCATTCTCCTGTCCACTTTCCCACTTAAATCCAACACTTTTTTTCACGATCTCAGTCAATGGAGCTGTAATTGTGCTGAAGTCCTTGATGAATCTCCGGTAGAAACTCGCCAAACCATGAAAACTCCAAACCGCAGAAATATTCTTAGGTGTTGGCCATTCTTTAGCCTTAATCTTTTCTTCGTCTACTGCAATTCCATCAGCTGAAACAACATACCCTAAAAAGACAATCTGATTTGTGCAAAAGGGACACTTTTTACTGTTAGCAAACAAGTTTTCTTTTCTCAAACCCTCTAATACCATTTGCAGATACTCAATATGATCAGTTAAACTCTTACTATATATCAGAATGTCATCAAAATAAACAACCACAAATTTGCCAATGAAAGCACGCAAAACATGATTCATTAATCGCAT